AAAGCTCTCGAGATGTGCTATAAGAATATGCAATGAAAAATGGGGTGTTCCATTTAAAAAAATTAATGTGACCTTGACCTGACCTTCGCTACGCAACCCAAGGTCAAACTGATGTGATCAGTAAATACATCTTTTTAAACGCCACAACTTTTATCTGAAACATTTTTTTGTAAAACTTATATTTTTCCTGATATTCGGGCGTCCCGGTACTTTCCGAACACCCTGTATATGTAATATAATATAACATATATGATATAATATAATATAATAATATAATATTAACATATATATTATATTATAATATAATAATATAATATTATTATATTAATACAGTTTTATTATTATTACTTTGAGTTTGCCAAGAATTTATTCAACAAATTTATTGTATATCTTTGTAGTATCTTCCTTAAATTCATTAATTAAATCGGTCGTTGAGAGAATACTGCAAAAAAATTTAAATTTTCTGCTGCATTTCTGCCTCGTATCTACCGTTGCTTTCGGACGCACGTCATGATCAATTTCTATTGCGTTTCTGCTGTTACCAGCGGCATGTCGTGATCGATTTCTGCTGCGTTTCTGCCTTCTCAGAATGCCACCTAGTTACTTCATTTTTAACGATTTTCTGCTCACATGATGTGACGTTATTTCATGTTCGATTTTATGCTGCTTCTTGTCGACATATTATATAAACATTCAATGCTTAAATTTTTCTTTTCCTGTGTTGACATATTGTACCTTATTCTTGCAGTATTTTTATTATCATATCATGATGCAGATTTTGTTAGATTTTTGTTTCATTTCTACATGTACTCTCTGATACGACAGATCATGCTTTGATACTGCCCAAATTATGCCAGCATAGTATGCAGCGTACATTTAGCAAAGCCTGACTTTAGCAGGCTTGGCTATCTGGGTAACTTCCTTTATAATTGCGATATAACTATGTTATAAAACTGTTATGTTATTATGTTATTTACTGGTTAAGTTACATCAATGATATAACAGCAACATAACTTTAATACAACATGTTATATAAGAAGTCTAATGTTTGCATTACATTTCAGTTGTGCAATATTTTTATACACAAATTATATTTTAGGTGTTTCTCGTATATAAAATGTGATATTTTAATATATGCAAGGATCGTTATCACGATATTATAAAACTAAAGTTCTTACAAAAAGAGTTTAATCATAACTTTACTCTGTCAAAATATTGTGAGAGAGGAAGAAGAAATATTCTCTTTTTTGCGAGCACTTTGTAGGTTAAAATTTGATTACTGATACAATATTGTATCAATATTAATCGCACTGTGATTGTCGTGTCAAACATTTACCAACAAATATGTCATAACATTTTTTGAACGATATAAGAGTATATTATAAATATTATCTACTAAGATATTGTTACGGCGGATCGGCATCACCAGTTCCTGTACGATCGTTGAAGTTAAGCATTGAACAACATGATCTAAAAATGGGTACCGCCTGACATAAAGTCAAAACCATGCGAGTTTCAAGAATAATTGAAATAATACGGAATATGAAATGTCAGTTTTTTAAAATTATTTAAACAAAATAATCATACATTATCACTTATCTGAATGATTTATTCATACTAATGAATAAATCATTGGAATTCAACAAAAAAATGTGTTAATTCGCTAACGAATAACATATAACTCTTATATAACTTTTTAGTTACATGTTACTTTTATGTTATATTCACGTTATATAACTGTAACACGCATGAGTAGCAAATTATAATGAACGTCTATATAACCTAATATATACATGTTATATTGCATGTTATATTCCGTTTCATTACGGCAATGTAACTAATATATATCTGTGTTTGCTGTGCTATTACCAGAAATCGGATTTCGGTGCCGTTTTTCCCACTTACAGAGCCTAAGGGCCATATTCATAGTCAAACCTCAAATCAGCACTTAAAACGATTTTGGTCAAGTCGGTCTTATTCAAACAAGATCGTCTTAAGATCAGTAGATTTCATAGTCGTGAAATAAGACGATCTTCAAGAAGAAGATGTTGCTCAAGTAAGACTTATTTGATTTTAGATTGACTTGGCAAAGATAAACTTAAGACCATGCTTATTCTCGAATCATGAGAACACTAGATGC